CTGTCCTACGGGGTCGCTAGGGATCGATGGCAGTGACTTGGACTTGGACACTTGGCACAGTTCTTCACCCGAGCCAAAGAATGTCAAGGCCATCCAAGGCCTGGCAATGTGATATATCTTTGGGACAAGACATAGAGCGAGAGATTTCCCTTCTGCATACTTTAGCGGCTGTCTCTGACAACAAAGAAGACTTCTTTATAACCGCAGTCACAACACTGTGGGGCTCTGGGGGAGATTAAGTGAGTTAGCATGTAGACAGTTCATGGCCAGGTTTGTAGGAAGCACTCGGCTCGCTAGCACTGGCTAGTTCCACCTCTTCCTGTGTCACCAGGCCTGCATCCCCTTCGCCAGAACAGGGTCCTGGCTTCCTAAACCCACTGCCCGAGCCCCTCGCTGAGCAGCCAGGCCTGGGACCCAAGGAGGAGCTCCTACCCAGCAAGGACAGGAGCCGAGCAGGACAGAGCAGTGTCAGGCTGTGGTCAGGGTGCCTCCGGCAGGGCTCACCAGTTGTCCAGCCTCCGCTGCAGCGCTGGGAGGAAGAACTGTGAATGGAGCTGGTGGATGGAGGAGATGTTGGAGAAGATGAGTCTGACCACGTCCTCGGGGAAGGCCTTGCTGCTCCAGGCCTCCTGCAGCAGCTCCTGGAAGAAGACCTGAGCGCCGGCCGGTCACTCAGCCTGCACGCAGGGGAGGCCCGCCGGCCGCCCGCCCAGGGGGGTGCCCCCGCCCTCTTACTGCTCACTCCCTGGTCACTCCCCTCTCCCTTGTTCCCTTCCCCTCCTTCCCTTCCCCCTCTCTCCATGTGGACCACCAAGCTGGGCTGAGGTGAGCGATGGTATCATGTAATGTGTCTGACTGTATTATTGTAATATTTCTCATGCTCTTGATGACTTTAATATAATACATATATATCTCAACCGTACAATTGTGCATTACTGAACCCAGAAGTAGTATTACTGAACTCGTAGGAGTAGCAGCGGGTGGTGGCCGGCCCCCAACCTCCCTCAGTGTCTTTATTTTTTAATTTAATACTAAACTTTCTCCTCCAGGTCTGGGAAACTCATGAACTGGAGGTCCTGCCCGAGGCTTGGAGGTAGCCCATGACTTGTGCAAAGTCCCCCAGGCACCAAAGTCAGAGGAGGCTGGAGACGTCTGCCCTTCCCTGGCTCTTCCTGCAGGGCCCGGTTGAGGCCCATGTGGACTTCTCCTATCAGGGTGTAGTGGGGCCCCCCAGCGCCCCTTACCAAGAACAGGTAGCGCTCTATGGGGTCGCTGCGGCGGAAGGAGATCTTGAGGACGGGGCCTTCGCGGAGCAGGGTGTTAGAAGGGTCCACGATGTCATCCTCCAGGCCCAGGCGCTGGTACACGTCCCACAGGTCCTGCAGCCGCTCCTGGGGGCGGGGCCGGGGGGGGGGGGCGGTGTCCTTAAGCGAGGGTGGACAGGCCCATCTGCTTCTGGAAGGTTTGTCTTGTGGGGCGGGGCGGAAGGCAGCAGAGGGCATGGGCATGGTGCGGTGGGACCAGAGAGGAGTGGATATGGTAAGTGGGATGTGCCGGGGATGCGGAGACGTGCGCGCGCGCGCGGGAGGCGGCAGGGCCGGTGGCTGCTCACCATCTCCTTGATGGCGGCATTGGAGTGCTGGGCGGCCGAGAAGATCATGTCCAGGGCTTCTGAAGGTAACAAGGCATGATGCCTGAGGCAGGATGTCCTTACGGCTTCACACAGTGGCCTCAGGATCTGCCACGCACAGTGGGGCCACTTCCCACTTAGGGGGGGAGACTGGAGACCACCCCAAGCAGCGAGCAGGTGAGCCGCTCCATGACCTTCTACCGCTCCCCCTGCCAAGTGGGACCCACAGCATGTAGTGCCAGCATCGCACAGGCATGGGTTCGAATCCCTCTCCGTTCCTTTCTCACTGCGCCACCTTGGGCAAGTCCCTTGAGCCCAGGTAAAGGTAGGAATAGTGCCTACCAGGCGACGGTACTCACTGGGGCTGTTAACTATTTTTGCAGATGTGAATAAATCTATCGGAGGACCTGTCTCTCCAGCACCTGCCCCCACCCCCCACCCCCCTGGAGGTATCCTCACTCTGGGCGTCGTCCCGGTCCGGGGCCTGGGCAGGCAGCTTCTGGAGATACTCCTTGAGCAGTAGCTCGTAGCGTGGGATCCTCTGCACGGGCTCCAGCATGTGGTGCTGCAGGGTCAGGCTGCCAGAGGCCTCGCTGCTCTTGGGGATGAGGGGGAGAGGAATGAGCCCGTGAAAAGGGGGGAGGGGGACAGGATGCCCCGAGCATCGGCTAAGCTCAGGAGAAGACTGCCAGGCTCTGGCATGGGCCTGGCCCAGGAGCATTTAGGGAAACGGAATCACTGCACCCTGGAGGGTGGCAGCCCTCGGGACACCCCCCACCCCAACCCCCACCAGCCTCACCTGGATGCGGCTGATAACCTCCTGGAAGGGCGGGGACTTGTCAGTCCAGGTGGCCAGCAGGTCAGCAGCACGGTCAAAGTTCTTGACATACTCACTGTACATCTTCAGGAAGGGGGCCAGCTTCTGGATCACGTCGCCGATGCGGGGGCTGGCTGTCCTGCAGGAAAGGTGTGATCGCCACCCTCAGTCTCCTTGCCTGACCTCTGACCTCTGACCTACTGCACGTCTGAGGGCAAGCACTGGGGGCGACCAATGTGTGTGTGTGTGTGTGTGTGTGTGTGTGTGTGTCAGCGGGGGGAGGGGGGAGTTGGTGGCTGAGCCCCACCTGCACCCACTGCCTCTCACAGCTCTCCGAGAATACAAGCTGCCCTCTTCCAGGGACTGGTCTCCCCCGCAGTAGGTGTTCAAGAACCCCTAGGTGTCTGATGACACAGTAGGACTGAGGGCCACACGCTAAGCGCCGACTAAAACCATGCTATGTTTCCTGTCTTTTCTCATTTTATTCTCACAACAGCCTTGAAAGTGGAGGCGGTCATTGGCCTGTCTTAGAGATGATGACACTGGGGCTCCCGTGGGGCTCAACGCCTGGAGGCCACACCGCCAGGGGCTGTCCCGCAGGGGAATAAGGAGTTCACTTCCCACTGTCCCTCTCT